ATCTTGTGCATTTTCATATCCATTTTTCTTTCTTTGCAAATTTTACAAAATTTAAAACAATAAGACATTTGTTTAATTTCAAAACTATGAATACTGTTATACAATCCATAACTTTATTAAATTAATTTTTTGTTGACTTTCATGAAAAGGTGGAGGACTTGGAATATCTTTTTCATCAATATCTAAAAGTTGTACCTGTTTTTTTATTTAGTATTGCAAACAACGCTTTCTGTTTGTTGAATTAATTTTACTTTCTAAATTAGCTGGTTGTTCATATTGTATTCCCAGTTTCCTGCATATCAGCAAGAGGATCATTCTGATTGTTAAAAAAGAAGAGTTTGAATTTACAGTGAGCCTGTTTAGAAGAATGTTTTGATCAGGTTTTTCATTTTGATCTAAGCATAAGGAACCATAAATAGGATTGTTAAGTTGATAATCTAAAGATTTTGCTATTTTCTGGGATGCTATTTAAAATTTGAGGGGAGAACAATGCTCAGCAGTATAAATGTATTCTTGATCATCTTCTGTTTGTGGGTTTCTACATCAATTTCATGTACTAATTCAGAGTCAGTTTTATGTCATTTTTGCATTTTGTTTTATTAGCTTACTTTTCAAGTTTTTATACGACGGCAAAATAAAATTCAGAATCGAAATGGGGAATATGTCAAAAATTTGCTTTCGAGTAATGCAATCATGTCACTGTTGTTGTCCGAAGACACATTTGGTTTCCGGACAATAACTTTAGTTTAATAAGTAAATGGATCTCTATGACAATGTATGAAATTGTACCAGAAGGTTCAACTTCAATACACAAAATGTAGAATTGATTTTGGGGGTTATCATATTTATTGTACCAACAGTTTAGGAGTCAGTGGTCAAAAACAACATTTTTGGGTTGTTTTTTCCATCATTTTTGTTTTTTTTCTCAAAAAATTTACCATTTTAACATTGATTATTTCTCATTTATATATAAATGCAACAAATACTGATTTGGCAGGTGATACACACGAAACAGGGTGTGTAAATTATTTTATCGGTAATTTGTGCATTTTTTCTTTGATGTGTACTTCTTGATAATGTCAACGTCAGTATCAGTGAACTGGTCATGATAAAGAAAATGTATTGGGTCAGTTCACAATTGACATGCACGAGTGCATCGCAAAAGGATCTTCTTTCCCTTTAATTCACAAAATTGCACATGATTTTTTTTCGCAGAAACGCACAAGTTATTTCATGAATGAAACACTTGTCATTGTTTGAAACTTTCAGTAATCAGCTGGTAATAAAAAGTTAGTCTAGCCTTTTTGAACGATTCACTGATTGTGTGAAAATTTGAACAGAAAATGTACAATAACCCACAGTGATAAAATTGCGTTATCTGCAGAATTATTGATAGCTTTCCTTACTATTCACTAGGACATATAACTAACATATCGTCCATGCTATTCCGATCTGAGTTTTTATTCATACATAGTCTGGCATGGCTGGTGCTGTTCCAAGTTGTCTTCTTCTCTGCATGTTTCTTGAGAAGTATTTGTTTTGACCTGGTCAGTCACTATAAAGTGTTACAATTCATATTTAGACGCAACACATAAATAGTGACCAAAAAGGTACCGCTTTCACATGTATGACATGAGAGAATCTAGAAAAAAAATTAAATGTACACATTTTCAACATTTTTGTGGGACTATCATATAAAATTAAGGAGATATGTACTTGGAGACTGCTGCTGAATAGAAATGTTCGGGCTCACTTGATACCCGTTTTCAAATTAGTCCATATTAAAGTTTGAAGGGTCCAAAATTAAAATATGTTTGATTTCAACTGACATAAAATTTTTGGCGTTTTTTTTATGCTAAATCTACATCTGTGGTTGTATCAGGCTGTGCTTGACGAAGCATTTTATTGCTTTTTTGTTTGTACTTTATTTTATTTTGGTCATGAAAATTAACTTGTAGTTGTGAAGTTGCTAACATTTTCAAAAGATGATAATTAGATAACTTCGCATGGTGACGACACTGACGTTTTCGTAGATTTACTTTTTCCCGGGAATGCTTCATCTGTTGATATATTCTCATTGTGAACGATTTGTGTATATCTAAATATATTAACCTATGTTAAAAGACATGTATAATGTCAAATCATAACAATACAAATTGTTTAGTCTCAAAGAAAACTTGTAAGATTTCCAGTTATTTTTGTTGAATAGGTGCAAATTGGGTACTCTGTGTAATTTGGGAACTGTGACATTATAGCCATAAGTGTTTATTGCTTTAATAGGTTGAAATGTGCACCTGATAAAAGTATTCAGTAGAGGGAAAATATTTTGATCAGGTTTAAACTGACGCATGAAATATACAGGCGACTGAGGGAGGCAATTATTTATATTGCATCCAAATAATGTGCCGGCAGCTTGAATTTCAAAGGATGTAGCCCACATACTTCCAAGTAACATGCTCTATACCTATCAAAAGTCATGGTATTATCATGGGTTATTGTAACTCCATCTTCCCATAAAATCCTATTTTGGACAATATGGGTGCATACAATATATATGTACCTATAAATGTATCACTCAGACTCAAGTCTCCTTTTACAGCTGTTTTAATTTATGATTAAACTCCTGGGACTGTTTAAGGTAGATATGTGTCATAATTAATGACAAGATTTGTTGAGAGTTTGTCAAAGGAAGTACAGTCTACAGATAGTGAATTTGAATATATTTTCTTTGTGTAAAACTTTTGTTAAGTTTTGAATTTCACCTGCATTTGTCTGTGAGCTACAGAAATCACATTCAACAGTATAACCATGGAAGTAGTCAATATAATACTTCCATGGTATAACCAACTTCATTATTACTGTAACTTGATATGGGAAATTCTGTAGCAGATGAATAATAATGGTCATGGTCAATCAGAGGCAGTGCACCGGATTTTACTTCCTCCGGCTACGTTTCTCCCGAAATTTATTGCTTGCAGAGGGTTTTTCTGTGTTCCCATGGCTGGACGGAACTTTTACACTACAAATGTTATCATAAATTATGATACTGTAACTTTTAAATGAAGTACCTGTGGTTATTTAGGAAATTTGTCACTGATAATGGAAAGATGAAGCAGACGATGAAACATCATGCCGATTCATGGCGTAAGATGTTGTTGTCTAAATTTCGGTTATTTCCGTGGCACAATAAAAATTAAATAAACTACACAAGTTACTAAAATTTCTTAATTCTTGTTTTTGTAAACAAAAAAAATTCAAGTCGTATTAAACATCGAATCTATTCCGTTTTGTCCCTTTTTTCAAGATCGCGATTAAACGAGAATCTGGCAGCCATTAAAAATATAAGGGTTAAACTAATGTCCTGACAATGTCCTGACGGATATTCCAATGCTAATTTCGTTTTCATTATTGGAAGAATTGACTTTATATTTGTAGCCAAGCAAGAATACAATATTTATTTAATAAATATAATGAAAAAAAAAGAAAAACAAATTTTTAAGAGTTAGATAACTTGACGTGATCAACTTCGAAATATATTTTTAAAAAATCGTACGAGATTTAACGAGAGTGACGAAACTTTTTAGATTGATCATGTAGAGAGAGTTATCGTTCTTTATTCCAACTCGATGCTTCTACCATAAGTGCCAGCTAAAGCTGGCATATTATTGCCTTCCGAGGTTAAAATGGCATCAAGTGAAGTATGCACCCCAAGGAAAATATCAGTATGAACAAATATTTGTGTTTTATGCGGTTTTTCTTTCATCCAGATAGAAATCTCCTCTCCCACGCGCGACATATAAACAACGAGGAGCAAGTGCGGAGATTTAATTTTAATTAGATTGGATCATGTAGAGAGAGTTATCGTTCTTTATTCCAATTCGATGCTTCTACCATAAGTGCCAGCTAAAGCTGGCATATAAATTTTGATCATATTTTTTTTATTTGTTTTGTTTTGCAGCTTTGTTTTTTATTATTTATTTTACTTTTGCAACTTTTTATATATTTTGCTGATTTTATCAACATGACATGAATTAAAGTATTAAATATCGCTTGTGATAGTATTTATGACAATTAACCGAACACTCATAAACAAAACCTCGGTCAAACAAGGAAACTGTAAATGATAAATTATCCTGCGAGTAAACCGAGGAGTAACACAGTACATCAAATATATAAAAAGGAACTGGATGGCGAAGCTTCCATTGAAGCAACCGATGCAGCTGCTAGGTAAAAAGAAATAAAAAAAAAAAAAAAAACGAAAAAGGATACAATTGATCTTCACCTTATAATTTTTTAAACAATTTCAATTTCATGCTACAAACTATAGCTAGTCTATACTCATTGTGAAATTGAAGAGCTACAGAAATATTGTGCATCGAGGATTTGTGTTTCCACAATTATTACGTAGTTGGAAATCCCTTTTCTAGAGTTTTTTTTTCAATTCATAAGGGTGAATAATTCCCGTTTAATACTGACAAATTAGTTAAATCTGTCGTCAAGCAAAGCCAAAAAAAAAAATAAGCAGAAGATCCAGCGCACCTGAGCCTTCCCCGGTCTTCTTCATAAAGTCGGTTGACTTCATTTTTCGGTTTTTGAATCAACATGCGCAGAAAATTTCTAAGGGAGCCAAAACCATAGCCACAAAAATAAATAAATGACGGAGGCAGTCTGTAAGCAAGGTGGCGGCAACGCTCACAACTTTGCTGTATTTTTTTTTTTTACAAAATTATATAAAGAAAAGAGAAAAATAACAAAAAAAAATAAAGAATAGAATATAAAAGGGCGCAAAAGTATAAAGAATAACTGTAAAATTAAAAGAATTAGGAAATACAATTAATGCTGATTACAGAAATTAACTATATACAGAATAAAGAAATGATATAATTGCAAAAAAAAAATAATAGTAAAATCATTTTCATGAGAATTTTACAAAATAAGCGTTATTTTTTTTTAAAGATACAGAAAAATGCCCCAAAACTTTAAAGTGGGTACAAAAATTAAGGACCCTATTCCAGACTCCCATAAAGCGACGTATGGCGTTAATTAAAGGTGTTACCACTGCAGTACGTTATACATAGTGACGTTTTCGCGCATGGCGACTATGGCGATAACGTTGGATACATGTTGACGAAAGAATTTCACGTAAGTATCGACTTTTACTATAATGAATCACGCAATTATTTTTGATCATTTGTTGGAGACTGGGATTGGACAAATTAATAAAGTAAATTTAAAAGGAATCACTTTCCTTCTCGTGTAAAATATGACTAAGGTATCAAACGTTTAGAGCATCATTAAGTTACTTTAAGGGTTCCATACCTTTTAGGTAATACTAAAATATACAGTTTTTTTTAAGGAAATGACATCCTTTAGTAATTGTGGAAAATTAAATGAGATTAACTTTGAATTTATTGAGACTCTAAACTATAGACATCAGACAAACTTTACACGAATGTTCCACGAGGAGAAAGTAATCATAAAAAGGAGGAGAAGATACCTCAAGTCAACCTAAAACCATAAGTTGAGAAAGACAGACAATAATATACCATAAAGAACCCGAGCAGATAAACAATTTTACAAATAACGACACGCAAAAATAGAAACTGAGCAATACGAATCCCCCAAATATGGAAGCGAAACTTATTTTGAACGACTTCACTCTCATAATTTCTTTGTATGGTATGACAGTCTTTTTTGTTTAAATCTCGATTTTAATAACTAAATATGTATGACTAAAACACTTATGGCCCCACATCCTGTCGATATTTATATGTTTGCATTGCACAAGATCATTTTTTTTTCTGTCTACTATATTTGATTTTCGTTTATTGTTTTGTTTATTGGCTTTCTCGGTTGCATTGTTTTATATTTTTTCAAATCGGTACCTTTTATATCATACTAAATGGTATGGTTTTGCTCATTGTTGAAGGTTTCATCGTGACTTTTGGTCTCTGATGGATAGATGTCTCATTGGAAATCATATCATATCTTCTTGTTATTATATTGTAAATTTTTAAATCTAGACTTTTACTGAAATGAATATGGAACACCTAACCACCTCTTATATACAAATTCCCAATTTTTTTTTCTTTAACTTGTTTTTTTACTGCATTTTTTCTTTCTTTCAGGGATCATGTTTTTACTGAATAAGTACAGAAAAATAGAAAACAGATCTGTAGGCTAAAAAATCTTACAGTATCACACCTATTTACGGTAAGTTCAGATTTCGTTGATTGGTTGCGCAATAGGACCCCGTTTACACTTACACTTAAACAATATCGGTCTTTGCTTAGATCGATTAAAAAAAAATGATCTTTAGCCTAATTTATCTTCAATCGGACTTAAAAAGTATACCTCCAGAGGTAATTTAAAAATGATCGATCTTTCTTTCGGTGTAAATGCTAAGATCGATCGCCCTCGAACATCTGAGAATGATATCTCAATTATGTACACCTTGCAGCCGCAGCGGAGGGGGCATAAGTGTTACCCTTGTCCGTCTGTACGTCCATCCGTCCCAAAATTTATTTCCGTTCTCTAACTTTAATTAGATTGCCTCACCCAAATGTTATGAAACTTATACACAATGCTTATTACAACAAAACAATGATCAAGTTCGAATTTGGGTTGCGTCACTTTTACCGTTCTTGAGTTATGTACCTTTATAACGTCATATGCAAGCGGGGGCATCATCTGTGTCCCATGGGCACATTCTTCATTTATTTAATACAACAAAATACCATCATAAAGTATAAAATCTTATAAATGTACACAAAAAAATGAGAAGTTATGATAAAATGGGGGGGGGGGGGGGGGGGGGGGAAATCTGTTTTTCAATTCAAATCACGGCTTTTTGGGACCTTTATCTCTCGGAAATAAATAAAAATTAACACAAATTCTTTCACCCTACCCACAATCAAAAAATTTCAATAATCGAACCTTAAATGATTTGTCTTTATATCATAGAGATGAATGCTAACATTTTCAAACCATATTTGTTGTACATCTTTCTGTTTTCAAACTATCAGAGGGCAAATGATAAAATTATTGCATTTTTATGTAGCAAATTCAAACTTGAGTTCTCATCTGGTTTGGGTGCGACTTTGAATAGCTTAAGGACAATAAAACATAAAACAGTTAATTTTTTTTTTTTGGAAATTACCTCAACTTGGGGCTTTTATCAAGATGATTTTCGTAACTTTAAACTTGAAACGGATTTGCCGGGTTTGCGTTTTGCTCATTTTCTTTGTTTGCCCTTTTCTTTAGTTGTTTAAAAGTAAATGTAGTGCAATCTCCCTTTGATTGACAAACAAATCTTTTAAACAAAACACATGTGGATTGAGAAAGAAGATGTTTAAATTACTAATGTAAACAAGTTATTGTAAAATGTGTCTAAACATGTATTATTGGAGAAGGCTATTCTGAATTGTAAAATTTGTGCCCAAGCTAGTTGTCTTGGCGTTTAAACCAGAGACATATAGAGACATATACTACATAATCATATGGTTCTGTAAAGTATTATACTAATTAACGATTCCTATGGCAAGCCGTTTTACTATTTTTTCTAACTTCAAGATATCTAATAAACTTTATAAAATATCTCATATAGTTTATACGATATCTTGTATAGTTTACAAGATATCTTAAGATATCTTATATAATATATAAGATATCTTATAAAATATATAATATATAAGATATCTTATATAGTTTATAAGATATCTTATATAGTTTATAAGATATCTTATAAATTATATGAGATATCTTATAAAGTATACAAGCTATCTTATATACTTTAGAAGATATCTTATAAAGTATATAAGATATCTTATAAGCTATATAAGATATCTTATTTAATATATAAGACATCTTATAATATATAAGATATCTTATAAACTATATAAGATATCTCATATAATACATAAGATATCTTATAAAAACTAGATTATCTAAGATATCTTATATATCATCTCATATAATATTGAGAATGGAAATGGGGAATGTGTCAAAGAGACAACAACCCGACCATAGAACAGACAACAGCAGAAGGTCACCAACAGGTCTTCAATGCAGCGAGAAATTCCCGCACCCGGAGGCGTCCTTCAGCTGGCCCCTAAACAAATATGTATACTAGTTCAGTGATAATGAACGCCATACTAAACTCCAAATTGTACACAAGAAACTAAAATTAAAAATAATACAAGACTAACAAAGGCTAGAGGCGGGGTTAAACATGTTTATGAGATCTCAACCCTCCCCCTATACCTCTAGCCAATGTAGAAAAGTAAACGCATAACAATACGCACATTAAAATTCAGTTCAAGAGAAGTCCGAGTCTGATGTCAGAAGATGTAACCGAAGAAAATAAACAAAATGACAATAATACATAAATAACAACAGACTACTAGCAGTTAACTGACATGCCAGCTCCAGACTTCAATTAAACTGATTGAAAGATTATGTCTTCATATAATTTGCTTTATAGGATATCTTTTAAACTATATGAGATATCTTATAAAGTAAATAAGATACCTTCTCTAATTCTTCGAAAATTTAACTGTCTCGAGTGGATAAATATCGTATCACACTCGATGCAGTGGTAGAATCTATATTTATATAAGAAGCATTTATAAGATATCTTATAAACTTTATAAGATATATTTATAAGATACCTTATAAACTTTATAAGATATCTTATAAAAACTAGATTATATAAGATATCTTATATATTATATGAGATATCTTGAAGTTAGAATAAATAGTAAAACGTCTTGCCATAGAATCCATTTTTTGGTTTAAACTTATATTTTCATGTTTTCTAGTAAAAAAGTATGAAACTCATGGCACGAAATCGGATACAGAAATTAATTTTCCTACCTGAATATTCAGAATTTAAAGACACTCTGCTTGCAGAATCAGCTTTTATTGAGTTAGACAAGTGTGGTGAACCAGTCAGACAAGTGTTTCTTGGTATTTCAGAAAATGTTTTCATACTTGCTTCTGAAAACGTTCCCGATTATGTACAATGCCCCTCTATCAAATATGATGCAGATGTTGATTTGGATACTGATGGGATGGAATTAGAATGGATTGTTCCTAATGGATTTCTAGACATCAATACAGATACCTCACATAGAATTTTAACTGTTGATTCACGGAATGGTCGAATAGGCCACTACTTGTTGTCTGATATCTGGGGCAGTGCGAGGAAAGATTGGGCTATTTGGAAGGAAGCGTTACAAGACATTAGTGATGATCCTCACAGTTACACAAAATGTTTATTCAAAGATTTTATTATACCCGGTAACGTCTATGATATGACAGATGTAAACAGAAAACGAAGTCAATTACATCAGAAAAAGGCTAAGAGCCTGGAGATTCTTACAAGTAAAGTGATGACAAAAATGTATGAAATACAGGACGAAATGGAAAGTAAAAAAAATAAACAGAAATTGAAAGACTCTTCGTCTCAATTGAATGATGGATATTTTACAAAAGAAGCTGGAAGTCAAACTTCTTTTAATAACGACAACGACAAAAAGCAAAAGAAATTGAAAAGGAAGGGGCAATCCTGCAGTACAATGCTTAAGAGCTTTTGTTTTGGAGGAAAAGCAAAACAACGTCCAAAATAGAGATCGACGCTATTATTAACTTTAGTAAAAAAAAAATGTTTAAAGTCTACATTAAATAAGTACATCGATTAACACTTATAGAATATACGTCCATTTACCAAAAAAGTATCTGTAAACAAACGGTATTCCAATCAAAAACGGCGTAATAAGCGGTATTCGAATAAAGAAAAGCCCGCTAATTACGAACTGTATTCCGGTCAAAGAACGGCGTAATAATTTCCCCGCTGCTTACAAACGGTATTCTACGAAACGCGGTTGGTGTCAGGGTGTAGTTTTATTTTAAGTCGTTATAATGAGTAAGTTTATATTATAGTCGTTATAACGAGTTAGTTAAGTCTTTATAACGAGCTAGCTAAGTCATTCTAACGAGTTAGTTAAGTCGTTACTGGTTTACTTTTACAAATTATGACTTGGAAGGAGAGTTGTCTCATTGGCACTCATACCACATCTTCGTATATCTATATAACGAGTGACGAGTTAGCTAAGTCGGTATAACGAGTAAGTTAAGTCGTTTTATCAAAAGTCGTTATAACGACTTAAAATAAAACTACACCCTGACACTAACCGGCTTCCCTAGTATTCTTTTCAAAGAACTGCGTAATTATCTCACCGGTGCAGAACATTTTTTTTATCAAAGATAATATTTACAATATTTTGTTCATATCTTATATTTTCAAGACATTGCTGATAATTATAAACTCCATGAAAAGCAGTTGTTCAGCGCTGATATTCGATTTTCTCATGTTGCTTATTAGACAATAAATGATGATTGGCTGTTTAACGTTCAGTGGCAAATAAAATGCATATTCAGGACGATAACATGTTAATGTGATATGAATATAATGTAAAACCCTGCTTTGTACTAGACCGACACAACGAGTCAGAGTTTGAACGTACTTTTTGTAAACAACGTAACAGTCCGAAGGGAGAAATGTCACCAAACCCGGACACATTATTATGACTCCGGGTCGACCAGTTTTTGCTCTTACTTCTGAATGTTGCGTGCCTATCAAAGAAGCAGCAAATACAAATGTTAGATTCATTGTTTTATTAGGGAACAAACCACAAAATACTAAAGCCAAAAATGCATAGATACTTGCATATTTGGGGAGATAAAAGACCAAAAGGAATATAAAATACAATTCTGGGCTGATAATACCCTTGTTGACATGGCTACCACCAGCAGCGGTATCGACCAAGTACTAGAAAATGAAAAGAACACTTCATAAACTTAGTGCGTCCGAAGCGCTTTACCAGACTTGCCTTCATCGTTATATTATGTTAAACGTTTTATTGCTTTTCAATATTTTGTGGCTTCGATTAAGTGGGTCCGCATGTCACAGATTTTGACATACAACTGGGGTAATAATATGTTAATAATATCAAGACATTCAAAATTCATAAGCCGACGTGAAACTGACAAGGCCGTGGCATAAAAAAAAAAGAAAGACGTCGAAGAAAAACAAAGATTTCGATGATCCTTAATATGAGAAAATCTTGAACGATATCGAAACACAAAATTGTTGAAATGTGCTTCTTTCGCCAAAAAATATGAAAATTTCTCTGAAAACTCGGTGTTTACACAACTTTATTTAAAATAAGTATTTTACAGCAATTATAAAAAATATTTGTTTAAGCCATATGGAGAAATAGTATGAAATTAACATTTTGTTAAACCATGTCCAAGATATTTAGAACTGTTAAAATGAACACGACGACGTAACGCCTTTTCTGTATATTTTAAATTTAAAATCAATTTTACTAATTTATACCCCTTCTCCTTAAAAAAATAAACAAAAAAACAAAGCATACGACCATTTGATGAAATTTATTGTAGTTTTATGTACATTCTATACAAGTGTTGAACTATTTATAACATTTTCATTCAATGATATTTTCAAGCAAGTTTAACAGTTCAATTTATTATGTTTTTGATTTTCAGAAGGAGTTCAACGTGTAAAAATTTTATGCGAAATTGTGACGATTCTGATAGCCCATTTCCGTTCCTTGACATTAATTCAGTCGTGTTTAAGGCACGGGGTTTGAAGAACAACATATATTTCCAATATCTTCTTAACGAGTTTTTACTTCAGTTTAACTTGGAGAAAACAGAATAAAAACTGTTGCAAAGATTTCTTAATCTACCGAGGTTTTGGAACTACAATCAAGTTCAAAGTCCAATGATGCATATGCACCGAAGTATAATCACTTCAATTTATAAAAATGTAAACAAGAACATAGACAATTACTACGCTACAAAATTTCAAGATACCGAAATTATTTTGATGCACTTTATGCTTTAATTTATTTCTCGCCAGTTCAAAGTCGTTTAGTTCCAAACTGAAAATTACACCGAAAAGGACTACAAATCAGCCAACAAACACATTTGCATTGTCATTAAAATAAACAATTTTACGTCGTTTTGTCAATTGAATATTTTCGAGTATTAATTTGAAATAAATTTGCCAGTACAAAACACATAGTATGGCCCTATACAACCAGGACCTTCCACTAGCAATGGTATCGATATGCATTAGGATTGTTGGAGAATTACAAAATATCGGAAATTGAATTATCTGTTTAAACAACAAACACATTAAAACCAACTTATGCTTAGGTGACAATGATGGTGATGGTTTTTTCCAAGAAAAAAAAAAACAACAACAAATAAGCAAACAAATAAAAAACCTTCTTTGCCTAAACACCTATACATTGTATATACAAATGGTATACATTTCTGTTGACCTGACTCGACAACTTAGTGAAGAATAAGTTTATAACAAATGATTGATTCTGACTAATATTCTGATATTTAACGACCAGTCTGTCATATTAATTATTACTGTTATAAATGTTTGTGTGATAAATCTGGCTTTACTTCAACATACATACAATGTGAAAAATTATCACGTCAAGTTAGTCAACTCGTCGAACACTATAGAAACTGACAACAAAAAATTAATGTCTTAAAAGAATTTTCATTTATATCACTGTTTTCCGCCGTATAAGGATATTTATAAACAAATCATATTCTAATAACAATTTTTAATGTAAAACGGTTCTGAAGGATATAACCCTTTAGCTCTGTTGTTGTTGTGTACCACGTTTGTACACGTTTGTTAGATTGTAAATCATAGATAATCTCTAAATGCTGAGCAGGCAGTCTAAATTTAAATCAACGTTCGTATCTCAAATCGACGTCCAATCTCACGTCATAATGAATTATATTGTAAGATTGCAGATTGACGGCCGATTGTATGCGCCTCTAATCGAAGTCTTTTTCCGTTTTCAAATCGACATCCAGTTCTTTAACGAGACCCCACGTCTCCCGAAAATTATTTGTAACAAGTAAGATAAAAATTTTATAATTTTATTAAATCTATCAAAATTCTGATTTCATAATCTTATCAATGAAAACAGGTAGTGATATCAATTTCAATTGAAATACTAGTATTGATCCGTTTTCATGACAATAACTCTACATATAATAGCTATATACTTTATAAAAATAAGAAGATGTGGTATGTTATATACTTCGTTGATTTAAGTTATTTTTGCTAACTAAAGTATTTCTATGTCCTATATTAGGAGTTTTTGTAGTCATATCCGAATATTTTTCGTAGTTGGAGAATTTCAGCTTAATTGACACTACCTTGAGTCTATTGTTGAAGACTCTATAGATATCTTTCGGTTATCTTTGTTGTTTGGTTGCTGTCTCATTGACATACAACCACATTTCCCTTTATCCATATGCATATGAAAGGAATAAGACAACGTAAATCGAGTGGATCAACGTCTTCCACACATTTTAAATGTCCATATAATTTGTTGTCCGTGTTGTCATTTGCCGATGCAACTAGTTGATAATTTTTTGAGATGGGATGTTGTTTCCCCTATTTCTTTTCTGAGTCAACTAAATCATTATGATGTGTAATGTTCTATTTAGGCAGCATTAGAATCTATACGGGGAAAAAACTAGCACTACAGAGAATAAATTAACATCATATAGAAAACAAATGATTAAATCATATTTGACATCGATTAGAGGAGACACCTATTGCTCGGACGTCGCTTTGGTATTTCCATGGAAGTAAAATGAAATCGATATAATACTTCCATGATCACATGGTACAAAATATTGAAACCTTGACTTGAGAATGTTACATCAGATTAGACGTCGATTAGAGAGCGGACGTCGATCTGAGTCTTAACACATATTTTTTTTTACTGTAAAACAACAAAAGGTAAAAATTTTATTTATAAATAAGTTTTCTTTTTTAAATGGGACTTTGAAACCTGTTTAATACCATTTGGTTACGGACAGTCTTTTCTGAAATGTCCCTTTGTAAGTGTACGGTACTCGGTAATAAGATTTTTTGGTTTGATGCGGTAAACCATAGTACAACTTCTTGGAAGTTTGTCGAACTATTCGGTAAACTAATGTTACCGAATCTACTCTGACTCGAGCATCTCGGTACATGAGATTAAATGCAGGGCCATGGTTTCCATTTGAAAGACCATATTTGTTTGCAATCTTAACAGCGTCTTCTTGGTGACCGACGTACGAGTTAACAGTCCTGTCATCAGCAATGCACATTTGTTTTGCCCGGTCACAATGCAAGGCGTCACTATTACTACACTTGGGACAGGATGGTGTAAGTTTGTACTCAACAAGTTTAGCGATGCGGTTTGAATATCCATCAACATTTAGATATCCCGTGATTCCTCTTGCTTCGTCGTTTGGTGATTGACCAGTTATGTTGGTGGGAATAAAGTCAGTTGCAGGATTGATTCCCAATGATTTCTGTCTTGTACGGAATAGTTCCCAGATGTAATCAACAAAACAATGATGTGACCAAAAGACTGGATCAAATGGACTCCTTTCTAAGTTGTTCATTTGTCCGTCGCACCAAATGTGGACTTGTCCATGCTGGTCTTCAAGATTTTCACCATCTGGGGAAGTGCCTACATTTATTTCAGCAAATCTTCTCTTGGATAACAAGCGCAAGATTCCAGTCTTCTGAAAAAGAGAACCATCTGACCCAATATTACGTATAAGTGGTCCAATTGGCGTATCAAATCCACTAAATGGTCCAGACTCTACTTCACCAAAACCGTTCCCGAAATAGTCTTCTGTCCAAATCTTTGATTCAGTTGGATCTGCCATTTCAAAATCAATAGAAGAATCCCAGAATGGGATAGCTATACCACAAGCTGTCTCAAATCTAAAAAAAAAGGAATAGTGCGTTCTTTTAAACCAATTAAACTCAAACTTCTACATGTTCTTTGCACCGGAAGCAAATGCATTGGCATCGGCGTATTTAATACAGAGACAATTGACTTGTTGTTCTTGGTTTGAAATACTCTTTTCGATTATATTTGTTTTATAAACACTCAAAATAGGTCAAATATTATTCAAATTACAATGCAATTATGTATTCAAAAATTAAAAATTAAAACCTCAAAGTACAAGCAAATAACAATGTGATGCAGTGAAGTCTCCGAAAGATAATTTAGAACCTAAAGATGTGATGCTGTTAAGTCTATGAAAGATTTAGATACGTTTTGAAAATGACTCTGGTAAAGAATCAGTTCAGATGACATTGATCCAAAGCATTTTTTAACCGTTTAGAAAGATATATGAAATAGTTAAACATTTTTGCTAGTAACAGTGATCAACAGACCCCTCTACCAAGAAATTTGTTTTGCATGCACACGTATAAAAATTGCGGTGTTTATCCAACGCAATCATATGTTTGAACGTTGTTCTCAATTTAGACGTCGTGGTTATATATACGCGAATTTTAAAGCTACATTTGATTCTTGACCGTGACAAACAAAAACTAACAGAACGTCACAGCTAGATTTGCTGTCGATGGAGTCATTTAATGATTTTAAATCGACAAGGACATTTTTAAAAGTTTTTGTAGAATTACATTCCATTCATGGCAGGGATTAAAATAGAGAATAAAGGGCAAATACGAAAAAGAATAAAGAAAAATAGAAACTATGGTGTGTTAAATAAAGAGAATAATGGACAAATATTAAAGAATTGAAGAATACAGAAATTACCCCCCCCCCCCCCCCCCCCCCCCCCCAAAACCAAGACCTTCATATATTAAGAACCTTTTCGTAGACTGTGATGATGATGGATGGATGCTTTACGTCCAGTGGCAAATTAATATGCATATTTAGGACGAGAAAATGTTAATGTAATATGAATATTAACCCTGCTCTTCACAAGACCGACACGCTGAGCCGGATTTTGAACGTGCTAGTTCACAAGGTAACAGTCCGCAGGAAGACATGTCACCTTACCCTGAAATATTATTCTGACTCTCAGCCGACCAGTCTTTGCTCTTACTCCTAAATGCCGCGTGCTTAGCAGAGAATCAGCAAATACCAATTTTAAAGTATTTGGTTTGACCCGGCCGGTGTTCGAACCCACGATCTCCCGCACTCGAGGCGAACGTGCTACCACGAGACCACCGAGGTTGCGTTCACCACTTACATCAGCAAATACAATCTATGCCAGGGACAAAAGTTTGGCCCACCATGTGCTTCATCTATAGCTATTCTATGGAGATCTGCTATTGTATCATATCGACTCGTACCAGTACCACCACTCTGGAAAAAAAAAACAAGAAGAGTAACGTTTTAGGCTATGGAAATGTTAATTACAGTGTTCAAGAACACGTTACCATATACTTTAGCAGAATATAGAAACTTTAGACAGATACCAAGATCGATCAACCAGATGACACACTTTTAGACTTCCAGTTGTGAGTGAAAATGTTGATGGGGAATAAGATATGTCTCTGTGTTGGCAGACTATTTATATACTGTACCGTAGTATTAAGACTATGCAATATTTGAACGTTGGCTAATTAATTTCTGTCTTAAGAAGTATTTTGTTAAAATGTTTCACTTTAAAAGGGATTGTTTAATTTTTATTTATATCTTTTTTTAATTCACAGAAAAGCTGCTTCAATGCATAACTTACCATATCAAATTTCAGCCTCCGTACTGCTGCAGAATATTTTGGCCAATTACTCATAGGATCTCGGACCTCTCGTCTGATACGTTTCGGAAACACTTCTAACAGTTTGGTACGTCTTTTGACTCTGCTTCCATGATTTGATTCGGAGATAATTTTTCGGAATATGGATTGAAGATAGTTGACTTCATCCGTCGTCATATTTCTCTTTATCGTGGGATGTAAGAACATGTCAAGGCAATGTTTCTGTAGATCTCGAGCTAATGCTACACCTTCATGGCTATTTTCAACTTTATGGTCAAAACATTCCAGGAGAGTCTTTGGAAGGTAATTGCCACTGACCACTGTCACGTACAGCGTCAACAAGATGGCAACTGCAGATAAGACCGCCTTGCACATCTGGTGGTAAAAGTATACATGTAAATGTTACGAACATACTTTAACATATTCTTATTTCAATGTACTAGTATTTTGAATTTTTCAACTTTTGAGGCAAAGATGAGCTATAAATTGATTTAATTTTGTGTATTTTTCTTGTAATATCAACTGGCCAGGAGACTAGTCAAATGTTTATCCTCTGCCTGCTGTTTTTTGTCTTTTTTTTGTCTTTGTTTATTGTTAAAGAACGAACAGTGACCTGCATTTTCTTTTCCCTTTGTCTTTCGTTTATAGTTTGTTTTTATCAATCATACCACATCTCTTATTTCATACACACGACTGACTGAAAATATTGCCAAACACAGACTTTTTAGACATCATCGAGATAAATAATATGATAGAGAAACGTTCCTTTCTAAAACTTCTTTTTTGCTAGAAAGTCATGATGCCACTACAAGCAATTAAAACCGGAATCAAAAGTAGATTCTTAGAAAATGTAAAAGATCTGTAAGAGAATATCTTAAAATATTTGACTTCGCCTTTTGCTCGAGTATTCATATCTAACTATTAGAACAAGATACCTAATATCAAACATTCTTACCTCAGTATATAAAGGCAAGCTATCCGACAAAGGGAAAAAATTGCGGCTAAGTTATTAATATCGTATCAATATGGAAGACAGTTTTTTTATGGTCATTCAAATTGATGTGCTTTTGTCAGAGACTTGTTATTAATAGCACATAAAACAGTAATTTGTCATCAAACAGTGAAAATAAGATATATAGAAGGGGGTTATGACTAATATACCACAATACTAAAAGAATGTTTTACACATTACACGATCAAACACTGACATTCTTTAATACTCATAATTAAACAAAATAATAAAATGTAAAAACGTATTCTTTAAAATATTTTAATTATTGTTTTACTGTTATAAAAAGTGCACACCCAGGCTTGAGTGTTTTAAATGGCACGTTTTGTGATGAAAGAAACACTTTATTAATTGTATAGACCTTTATCAAAAACGCTATGATCATAATATCTAAAAGTCAGCGATGTATGGTAACGTATAGAAACGTTATGAGCTATTAATCAAAGAATCAAGTTTCAGGCAAAAACATAACAAACAAATAATTAATGTGGAAAGAACGGCCACAGTTCACTTTGAATGACGAGGTCTGACATGATAACAGAATGCCGACATGATTGATTTAACTGACAAATCTGTGCACCATTGGTAGCAATGGATGCTCAAGTTCCTCAAGGTTCATCCTAAAGAGAACGAGGGTTATGATCCCCAAATACGTCGGATCTTATTCGAATCACCCCCTGGTTTCAGGGGAGTAAAGATTAACAGTTTCTATATCATAAAACTCTATATGCACGCTGAATACATAGTCCGTACTATGTATCATAAAACAGTCAAGCTCGAACTGGTACCAATTCAGAACCGACCACTCAGGGTAGACATGAGATGGTCTCAACAGAACTTCCTGCGGTACCGCAGGAAAGTAAAAACCTAATATGATCCGACGTACAATTACGGGAAACGATCATAACCCCTTAATCTTGCCAGATCCCGACATCCTTTTTGACTGACGAATGATTTTATTACAAAATAATGAACAATTATAATCAAGTAATCAAGATAAATGCTGATCTTTATCCAAATAAAGTCAAAAGTTAAATGCATTTCAGGCGAAGAACTAATAGCAGGTATTGATAATTCCATTTTCACACTGCTGGTGTCTGAATATTTAGATAAAAGTGGTAGCCATTCATGAAAATTAGCATTAACATATATAGTTCTCGAACGTATGATTCAGCAAGCAAATCCATCGGCTTGTTTGTTTCCTCTTTTTTGTCCAAAATGTTATAGATCCGGCCTGTTCTGGTCATTCTGAAAAGATAAATAAAACAGCAGCAGACAAAAGAATTGTTATTAGATGGAAGATTGCAAGGGGAGGTGGGTGGGTTTTTGAAACTTTTACATATCTACAAGAGTGGCTAGTTCAATGTAATGCTGAAGAGTCATGTGACGTTGATTATCGGGAAACGAGAACCGGATCCGAATGACGCAGTAATCATTTCTCTTTCATTAAATTGGTTTATCTTATAAATGAGATAAACCGTATTATAACCAAAAGGGGTCTAAAAAGAATAGCCGAATTCATCAAAGGTCAACTTTGCCTCTGGAAGATAGAACCTTAGTTTTCTTCACTGATATAATTTAATAATTTTTCCATGGGTAATTTTAGAAAATACGTTCAATCTCATGCCAGTACCGAATCACCGACTACTGAGATGAAGATACCTTTGAGTACTTGTGATTTTTAAATCGTACTGAAAACACGGTTGTATATTTCTGCCATACTAAATAACTTTTAACGATCGTGGCTGTTTTATGTGGTCCCTTTCATTTTATGGTCATAAACGTTTTATGTATTTTGCTTCCAAAACTTATACAGGGAGAGTTAGCTGTGTTGTTGCTTACAATGATACTCTCTTAATGTATTAACACTACATTTATCAATATCATGAAAGTTCCTCAACAAATTTTTGTCGTCCGGAGTGCACACAAACATTTTTTGACATGGACATCATCTTAAATCATAGAGAACTATTCATGAGCATATTTTAAAGCAGTTGATATAATTTTCATTTGCAATAATATTATAATGACATCATTGTTCTTACTTTTTTATTGCTAGAATATTTGAATGAAAACAAATTCTTTATTCTTTCCCAGTCATTAAAATGGAATGGCAATAAAGTAAATTGTGGTTCTTTTGTGTAATTAATGGCGCAAATTTCTAATTGTTCATCGAGTGTAATTGTTCTTGTTTAAAAATGGTAGAAAACTTAGAAATAATCCAAAAATGTTCTTGTTTTTCCTGAAATTATAATAATGTTTTAAACAAATTTGAACCTATATCATTTTTTTGCAAGGGTATCAAAGATAAGTAGTTTATCACTAGGGGAAAAGTGGAGTGAAAGAGGATTTCTTATAAACGCCATCACGATACAACAAATATTTTGTATATTTTCACAAATTTTATCGACTACTAATTTTGTAATTTTGATAATGCAAACGTTGAAATTAAAATAGCAATACTTTAACATGTAAGTTATGCAAATATTCAAAGTCGATGAACCATGACTGAAGGTACATGGCTAAACAATCTCCATGGAATATGAGATGTGCCAATGCTAAAACAACTGCATGCCAAATACAATTGACTTATCATAAGTCGTTCCCTTTAAACAAACCTAAACACAAACATTAACTTGTAAACTATGTAAAAGTTTCAAAGTCAATGAACCATGATGAGAGGGGGTGGGGCTATATAATCATTATTGAAACGAAACTTGCAAATGCCAATAAATTTGCATACCAAATATCATTGACTTAACATTAGCAGTTCATCTTAAACTGATCTAATCACAAACTAATACATGTAAACTAAGCAAAAGTTTCAAAGTCAACAGACCATGACTAAGGGGGCGTGGTCAAATATTCTCCATGGAAATGAGATATGCCAATGCTTATACAACTGCATACCAAATATCATTGACCTACCACTAGTGGTTCCACATAAACTGACCTAATCACAAACTAATACATGTTAACTAAGCAAACGTTTCAAAGTCAATAGACCATGACTGAGGGGCAGGGCCAAATAATCTACATGGAAATGAGATGTGCCAATGCTAATACAACTGCATATTAAATATCATTGACCTACCACTTGTTGTTCACCGTAAACTAGACCTAATCACAAACTAATACATTGTTGACGCCGCCGACGTTGCCAAAAACAGCATACCTATGTCTCGCTTTTTGACTCCGTCAAGGCGAGACAAAAATCATTATTGCCAATGAATTGGTAATTGGTATATAGTATAACTTGAATGATACACGCTGATATCTTACAAAAAAATTTACGTGACACAGACAAATATGACTGTCCATAAACTGTTTCTTATTTGTCTTGAGTGTATATAATCAATTATATATGGATTGTGCAAAATTAGATATGAGGGATTTCATTGGTTACCAATACAGAGGAGAGCAAGTGCGATATGTCTTTCTTTTGTGCTTTACAATATTGTATACTATCTCTCGTGCCCATGGCTACGTTTACTGGGTAGCCTTAAAACAAATTATGTATGGTGTTTGGTCGATAATTTTATAATGCTCGCGTTAAAAAGTACAAATAACATGGTTTAACAATTATCTTGTACTGGTTTAATTCTGAGAACCATGTTCAATCATTATGTCGTATTGTCCGTGTGTATCTTGGTCAGTTTTTGCAGGGACAGTCTATACTTTGTTAGTACCAGGGAAGTCTATACAGTTAGTATAGACTGTCCCTGGTTTTCGTGACCATTTTCATTTAAAAAAATTCATATTTTCGGCTTCTTTGCATCAAGGAATTGTGTATTACTACTTTTCAACATTTTGAAAAATCATACTTAACTGCCAGATTGAAAGACACGTTTTGACAGAATAATGAAATGCCAAACTGAAATTTCGGAAAATCGTAGAAAATTCAGAAATTATACCAGAAACATAAAAAAAAAGAGTCCAAGTTTTAGAATAAGGTTTCAGCTTCAACTATTTTTTTTGGCCTTTCATTGTTGTTGAGCCTTTCAGAGAAAAAAATCAAAACACTGTATTTCTTGTTTTGTAATCCGGATGAAAATCTCGCAAATTTGACGAACGAGGTCGATTTTAATATGACTTTTTATTAAAAGTTTATTGCAAACATATGTCGAAAAGGCATTTAATTGACACCCAAGGGGTTCCTTTTTACACGGAAGAGTTGTTTCTTCTTGTCTTGGTTTTTATCCTCCTTTATATCTTCTAAAAGGAGTTGACCAAGTGAATTTAGATCGATGACCGATAAATAAAACAGGAAATGGACCGTTGTGATTCTTTGTATGATTTATCATACTTCCGACCGAAACAGATATGAATTATCGCTCCGCGGGAGTCCCGATTGATCTCGAGCCGCGTTTCCATTCCTTTTAAATATACAATTCCTTGTTTGCAAATGATAAATGAAATATCTGATTTCAATAAAATTGGTTAAAATAAAGAATAAAAATAGGTGGCAGTTGTTTATTACACATATGCAATATTACCTTCTTGTAAAGTTCTCTCGACTAAACAACGACATGAAAAAAATGCTGGTGTTTTATATTCACATGGAACAAAGTTATTTATATGCATTTTTTATTATATGGCAAAAACGTTTAAATCAATAATGATTTTACAGGTTGTGGTTATTTTATGTCAAGCGAATGTCATGATAGTGTCAAAATGTTCGTCAGTGACGATATCTATAGGACATTTATACATTCCGCAATAAAACTTCCGCAACAGGTATATCTTGCATAGTTTACATGTTAAGGTTTGTCGTTAGGTTAGATTAAGGGGAACTGCATATCAAATACATTTGACCTCATGATAAAGCATACTAGCACAGGCGTACATTTTCTGTGTTGTATGGCTGATAGGTCTCAACATAAAAAGGCGATGTGGAATATAAAACGCCAATAGGACAACACCCTCAAAACAGAGAAAAACATATCCCAAGAGTTGACTTGGGTATAGAAAATGGACACAATATTCAGGCTTGATACAGGTCTGAATTTGGATT